TGGTGGTTCAAACCCACCAGCCACTCCTCAGAAGGAAGATTGGGCAATCTACTTCCATAGAGATACTGCCTGTGGTAGTTAATGTTTGTGTATCAACTTGGCTGGGCCTGGTTGAGTGCCTGGGGAGCTGGTGGTAGTTATTCCCCATGATGAGACTGACAATCAACTCCATGGTGGGATCCACCATTAGCAGCTGAGTAGCTGCCTTTGGGTATATAAGCAGCAGCTTTGGGGAAGGTCTCTAGCCTTTGGCATGCTTGGACTTTGCATGTAGCTGTGTCGTTGCTCAGCAGCCTGCTATGCTCTGCTGACCTTGGGATTTACAATGGACTTTAAGTTAATGGCCTGCCGTGTTGTTTGGTAACATCGGGACCGTGCCTTTACTTGTCAACCTTGGGGCTTCTCAGCCTCAGCAGCCAGCAGCTGTCTGAGTGAAGAAATGCCTCTAGCTCCAGTGGGCTGGGAGCAGGAAGCAGAACTGGACCCCAAGATTGAGGGGCTCTTACCTAGCCCTTAAAGCCTGGCAGTTTGAACTTGTACTTAAAGCCTCCAAATTGTAAGAATAAACTCTTATAAGCCATCCCATTTGTGGTATATTTCTTGTCAGAGTGACACTAGGTAACCAGAACAACAACTCAGAAACCAAGGAGGGGTTGCTGTGAATCCAATCGACTCAACAGCAGTGAGTTCAGTTTGGTTTAAAGACAAGGAAATGTGGAAGAATATGGAATGTTCAAAGAATAGTGAGTCCTGATAGTTTGGAAAAGAGCCAAAGGGGTTGAAGGATGCAATTAATGTCACTGAAGTGTACATGTAGAAATTGATGAAATGTAGTGTGTATATAATAATAATAGTAATAATAAAGGAATAATGAATCCTTTGGGGTAGATGGCATGTAGGGAATGGACAGAAATAAAACTAAAAAGGTCATCTGGATTGAGGGAAAAGGAGAGAGGGTCACCTCATCCCACGAACAGGTATTGTGAAAGTACCAAATCCTAACTACTAGACCAGCAGGGATAGCTACTAACAAGTATTATGCACCTACTATGTGTGTGGCTCTTTGCTAGACTTTTGGT